GGAGAATAGTATAAGTGCTCTAATAGTATACTAAAATTAAGGTTTTAAAACTTATCCCTAACCCTGTCGCCCTTAGTAAGCGGTCTAGGTCGCTCGGGCGGACAATCCGGTAAAAGATATTTCCGGAATAATTTTAGAATCGTTTAGGGTACTTAGATAGTAAATTTCTATTAAGGAAAATAGTATAAGTGCCCTAGTAGTATACTAGATTAGACTTTCAGTACTTAGCCTTAACCCTATACGACTAATTCCGCCGTTCTAATATCGTAGATACTTTAAATAAATCTCTCCGGTCCTACCCTATCTATTAACCTTACTAGATAGTAAGGACTAATATCCTAGAATTTCCGACTTATTTCTATAGGCACTTAGTACTAGATCTAGTAGTAGAACTATACCCCACTACCCGATTGCGTACTTAGAACGTAGAAATAATACTATCGTCTCCGAGACCCTTTATTTCTTTACCTAGAGATTTTAATCGAATTACTTAGAACCCCTAGCTAATTTAGATAAAAGCTAAGTACTAAATATAGTACTAGGGTACTTAGAACCTTAGTATTACTAGTATAATACTCCTAGGTCGTAGTAGAACGCGTAGTATCCCGAGTCGGCTTCTAGAACTCTAAATACTATATCGGCCGTAATACCCCCGATATCTACGTAAGCCTTATACTTATTTATACTTTTTATATAAATTCGACCTAATAGAATCTAATACGACCTAGAATAGTCGAGAAAACTAGCTAATACTAGCTAGAACCTCAAACATTCTAATACAAATATTTTAATGTCCCTATTTAAGATTTAAGTAACGTACGGCCGCGCCTACGCTATATACGCGAACATTGTAATACTAGAGTGTTTAGCTCTAGGGTCTAGAACGCGTAGTACCCCGAGTCGGCTTCTAGAACTCTAAATACTATATCGGCCGTAATACCCCCGATATCTACGTAAGCCTTATACTTATTTATACTTTTTATATAAATTCGACCTAATAGAATCTAATACGACCTAGAATAGTCGAGAAAACTAGCTAATACTAGCTAGAACCTCAAATATTCTAATACAAATATTTTGATATCCCTATTTAAGATTTAAGTAACGTACGGCCGCGCCTACGCTATATACGCGAACATTGTAATTTGTAATACTAGAATATTTGGCTCTAGGGTCTAGGTCGCTCGGGTAGACAATCCGGTAAAAGATGTTTTAGGAATAATTTTAAAATCGACTTACTAGGCCTAGATCGTAGGTTACTAGTAAGTAAAATAATAGGATAGCTCTAATAGTATACTCGATTATAGTTTCTAAATCTATCCCTAACCCTATCGCCCTTAGTAAGCGGTCTAGGTCGCTCGGGCGGACAATCCGGTAAAAGATATTTCTAGAATAATTTTAGAATCGGTTAGGGTACTTAGATAGTAAGTTTCTATTAGGGAGAATAGTATAAGTGCTCTAATAGTATACTAAAATTAAGGGTTTAAAACTTATCCCTAACCCTATCGCCCTTAGTAAGCGGTCTAGGTCGCTCGGGCGGACAATCCGGTAAAAGATATTTCTAGAATAATTTTAGAATTAGTTAGGGTACTTAGATAGTAAGTTTCTATTAGGGAGAATAGTATTAGCTAGTAACCGGCCCTATACTATAGGCTGAGATTTAAGCCTATATAAGAGGCCTCCTTCTATATAGTAGATAGAGCATTAACCTCGTATAGTATATTATTTATATTATACTTCTATAATGCTTATATTGTAGGGCCCTAGTTACTAGCCTAAGCGACTCGTTTGTTATCCTATTATACTAAACATAGCTGCCTATTTTGCTATAGGTTATATTACCCTCGGTTGCCTATACTATTGCTGCTAATAGTAGTAGTAGTATTAGTTTCCGTCCTTTATTAAAGCCGAAGGTAGGGCTATCTCTTTATATCTAATAGGTTCGGGTATGTTAAAGGTAGTCCTAGGGCACGAATAGCTATAATAGGAGCAAGGGCACGATAAGAGCCTATAGTATAGACGATATAGAAGTATCTCGAGGGGCTACTACGACAAGCGAAGAAACCTCTTAACGAGGGCATCTCTTTAATTCCGAAAAGCTACAAACCCTTAGAACTGTTATAGCTTAGGGCCTAGTCTATAACTATAGCTAGCTTCTAAGGACTCGGCTTTAGGTCGAAGACCTATTTAGTACCGCTTGCTCGAAATAAGCCCCGCCTAAGGAGGAGATAGACTAATTACCTATCGGCCTTACTTAGTTTGCTAAGACTATTAATAGATAGCAAATTCTAGATTGTAGGTCGGATAGCCGGGGAGCCCCCTATTAATCGGGTAGATCCTTTCCTAGGATTCGTAGCCTCGCTCGTATAGTGCTTAGCCTTCTACTAGGAATAGAAGGCTACTGCCCCTCCGCCTAGCTAAAGGAGATATTAAGAGCTAGTTTCTAGGATCTAGATATAAACAGAGATTGCAGTCTCTTCCTCCGAGCGGCTTTTATCTAATTTTACTAATTTAAGCTCCTAGAGGTAGTTAGGCGACCCCTAGGAGGCTAAATCCTAATAATACCCTAGGGGTAGTATTAGGGGAAACAGCCTAATATACTATTTCCTCGCGTAGCAATATCGCAACAAACTAAACAAACTAAAATATACTAAAAACACCTTTATATAGCATTTATTTTATATAGCATTTTATTTTAGCTATTTTATAAACAATCGAATAAGCTCTAGCGAAAGCGAGTATTAAGAATTAGCGGAATCTTCTAAATCCGAAAACGTCCCTAATCCTATTAACGAGGAAATTAGGCGGCGACTAGTTAATATAAGCGAGCCTCCTACGCCCTCTACGCTAGAGGCGCTCTATAATATCCTTATAAAGATAATAGAGAAGTAAACTAAGCTTCTCTATTAGAATAGGCGTCGCCTGCCTAAACTAGGAAGTAGTACAAACCCTTTATTCGAAGGCTAGAACGCTATAGTATACGTAGAGCGTTTTAAGGAAGGCTTAATTAAATATAAGCTTAATAGGGAATTTAACTAGTATAAGATCCGGTCCCTTACGAGGACTACTACTACTAAGCTTTACCGAACCCTTAGAACCCTAGTT